CCAGTGTGTGGGATCAGCCGCAGTATGTTGTTGTTGTTGTTGTAGTTGTTCTTCTTGTTGTTGTTGTAGTTGTTCTTGTTGTTGTAGCTGTTGTTGACACACTTCAGGGAGAACCCGGAACTCATCCAGAAGATTCCACCAGCCAGTATGTGGGACCAACCGCATTATGTTGTTGGTGTTGTTGTTGTGGTGGTGGTGGTGTTGTTGTTGTAGTTGTTGTTGTGGTGGTGGTGTTGTTGTTGTAGTTGTTGTTGTGGTGGTGGTGTTGTTGTTGTAGTTGTTGTGGTGATGGTGGTGTTGTTGTTGTAGTTGTTGTGGTGGTGGTGTTGTTGTTGTAGTTGTTGTGCTGGTGGTGTTGTTGTTGTAGTTGTGGTTGTTGGTGGTGGTGGTGTTGTTGTTGTTGTTGTAGTGGTGGTGTTGTTGTAGTTGTTGTTGTTGTAGTGGTGTTGTTGTAGTTGTTGTTGTTGTGGTGGTGGTGGTGTTGTTGTGGTGATGGTGGTGTAGTTGTTGTTGTTGTGGTGGTGGTGTTGTTGTTGTGGTGATGGTGTTGTTGGCTCACTTCAGGGAGAACCCAGAACACATCCAGAAAATTCCGCCGGCTAGTGTGTGGGACCAACCGCAGTATGTTGTTGTTGTTGTTGTGGTGTTGTTGGTGGTGGTGTTGTTGTTGTTGTGGTGGTGGTGTTGTTGTGGTTGTTGTTGGTGGTGTTGTTGTTGTTATTGTTACTGTTGGTGTTGTTGTGGTGGTGGTGGTGGTGTTGTTGTTGTTGTTCTTGTTGTTGTTACTGTTGTTGTTGTTGGTGGTGGTGGTATTTTTACTGTTGTTGTTGTTCTTGTTGTTGGTATTGTTTTTGTTGTTGCTGTTATTGTTGTTGGTATTGTTTTTGTTGTTGTTGATATTGTTGTTGGTATTGTTTTTGTTGTTGTTGTTATTGTTGTTTCTTCCCCTGTGTGTAGATATTTCTTCTTTATATAGTCTGTATAACTAACAGGCTATCGTGTTTCTCTCTCCCGCTGTGTGTAGATATTTCTTCTTTGTATAGTCTGTATAACTAACACACTATCGTGTTTCTCTCTCTCTCCCTGTGTGTAGATATTTCTTCTTTATATAGTCTGTATAACTAACACACTATCCTGTGTTTCCCTCTCTCCCCCTGTGTGTAGATATTTCTTCTTTATATAGTCTGTACAACTAACAGGCTATCGTGTTTGTTTCTCCCTCTGTGTGTAGATATTTCTTCCCGACCTACGAGGACGACACGCTCCTGTGCCAGCTGGACGATGATGACGAGGGAGCGGCCGGTGACGCGCTGGGTGTGACTGTCATCGCCGAGGAGATCCCATTGGTCAGGGACTCCATCCTGACCGAGAAACTGTGCCGGGAGCTGCAGAAAGCTTAGCTGCATGACGCGTTGCTTCGCGGGACATTCTACAGAAAGCTTAGCCGGAAGATGCGCTGCCTCTTGGAATATTAAAAGAGCTTTTGGCAGGAGATCGCAAACTCAGTGCTTTCTTGTCATATCTCTATTTCTAATAACACGAGTGAAAATATTTCATAACTCAGAGTGAGCTAAAGAAGATGTTGTGGGTGGTTGGCGGGTGCTCTGGTATGGTTTGCTTCTTCTTTCCTATCAAACATCTAACATCTTTATCTCTGCTCCTTCTTTTTTGTGTTTGTTACTCTCTTGTAACACCTCTAATTTCGGCACTTATATGACTTTATTGTGTTGCAAGTGTCGTAAAACACTTACTAAAACTAAGAAGAAGTCACAATTTCACTGTTTTAAAAAAAATCGGAAATATGACAAGAAAGCACTGAGGTCGCGACTGATGATTAGTACAACAACTTGGCTTTGGTACACCTGGAGTTGGGAAAAAATTACCCCCCATCAATTAACCCGTACAGCCCTAGTTGTGTAGATTTACTTCCCTCATGAGGTCTCATTTCCTCTAGCCCAATCGGGTGTATTTTCCCCTCGCAGGCGGCCGGCTACCTCAAACCCCCTGTCGGGTATTTTTGCCGAAATCTGTACTATTGTCACTGAAAAATATTCTACATACTATTTTTCTAAACTTTCAAACTAAAGCACTGTAAAAGAAGTGCCAGTTTTTGCTACCCTAATATACAAACTACTTCTTTCTGCTCAGTAGCCTACCCAGTTTTTAGAAATTTGACATGGAAACTTTTTGAGTTTTACAACATGTCTAGGTTTTTCGACTGCAATTCTTTGAAGGAATATCTTGATGACGACTCCAAAGAATCTCACAATTTTGATAGAATGATCTCTTACCTCGTGATGGAAGTAACTCAAAAACTGTCCGAAATGTCAATTAGAACTTTGTAATTGTGAGGTAGTAAGGCGTTGACCATAGTTGACCGGTGTGTCCCTGCGATGAACTCTTAGCACTTTGCCATCACAAGGCTAATATATAGTAAAAACCCTTGCCATCACCAGGCTAATATAGTAAAAACCCTTGCCGTCCCAAGTATTTGGGGGGAAATCCCTAGAAACTGGGTGGTAAAGGTCGCTGAACGGCGTTTTGTGACGGGAGCCGAAGTTCGGCATTCTTGCCGATTGGCGAAATGTGACGGAAAAGTGTTAAGTCTGATCCTTGTAGCTTTTAGATCACTCGTGTTGTCTTTGCCCAAACCTCAACAATCATTAGTAGCTTTGTGGCTGATGCTAGTGATGAGAATGTGGGAACTGATTTGTATGTGTTTGTACTGTGAGGGAGGTGTTGAGTAGAGGAGGTGAAAGTGTGAGGGTGTACGTGTGTATGTTTGCATGTGAGTGTACAACACATAATATGTGATTTGATCTTTCAGATGGAGTTCATAGCTATTTGTGAGGCTGGTGGGGAAAGAGAGAGAAAAAGATGGGGTGTATTGCGTGTGTGTGTGTGTGAGAGAGAGAGAGGGAGTACATGTGGGTGGGTGTGTGTGTGTGCGTGCATACATGAGTGTGTGCGCATGCATGCATGTGTGTGTGTGCATGCATGCGTGAATGTGTCTATGCAACCCTGGTGTTTTAAGTCGTCAGTGTTCACCTTCAGTTTTAAACGTGTTCATTTTACTCCGTTCTTCTGTTATAGGAGGAAATAATTCCGGCCCTCTTCAGTTACTCACAATGTTGCATCCCTGAGTTGTTGGGGTTTTTTTTGTTGCGTTTTATTTTCATGATTTTCATCAGTGAATGTTCCTGGCTCACCTCTGTCTCAATGTCTCCCTCGGTCCGTCTGTCTGACCCCGGGGCCGACCAGAAGGACACAAAAACCCAGCACAAATGTGTCGCGATGCGGTGGAATCGGGCGCTCGTCGCGTTTTGGACGTGTGGAGTTTTTGGTATGTCTTGAACACTTTGCCCTCACAAGGCTCATAGAGTAAAAACCCTTGCCATCAAAGGCAAAGGCATTTTGGGGAAAATAAAAGAAAATTAGGTGGGAAACATTGCCGATCGGCGAGATGTGACTGACGGCAAAGTGTTAAAGCTTGTTCCATGCTGTTTTATCTTGAATAGAAGTGGATATATTTGTAATTGAAGGAGGTGGGAGGTCGCCTGGTGTCAGAGGTAAAATTAGCGGGAAAATGTCCACTAAAGCTAAGTGACGACTTTAAAAAATCTTGGAAACTGCAAATTTACATAGTTTTATGCCTCGGATCAACGTTTTTCAGTAAAATCTGACGGTAATGTGTTTTTAAATGGATATAAATGGTGTTGTATTGTAAAGGCGGCGTGGAAAGGAACTGGCCACCCTACCACAATATACCGAAGGCCAAGGAAGTTGTCTCACTAACAAAACAGTCCCCAATGTTCGGATCGGATGCGGGAACAACTTTACTTTTAAACGGTGTTGAGCCCAAAAGGTAAAAGTTAGATAAAAATTGCCCAGAAGGCAGAAAAATATCGTTTTCTTCGATTTCATTATTTTGACGAGCACCTGATGTCACCGCAATGCCTCACAACAAAGGTCAAGGTGTGGTTGGGGGCGTGCAGAATGTTCTCCTTTCTCAAATGTTGCTGATTGAACGGCCCTGAATGATTTTTGACTGATAAGTTTTTTGCTTTTGCTGCGGCTGGGAAAGAGCTGCTGTGCTGGCTTTAAGGGTACTGTCTCTCCTGTTTTAAAATGTTTCTGAGTTTACAGTTGGTCGCTTTTAAGGACACACGGGCAAACCCAGATTTTGGGGGTTTCCAGAAAACTTGACCTATACCAAAAATGGACTCTGCCCTACCTATAGGAGAAGTTTGGTTTCATTGGTGTGTATATTTGTTTGGTTATAGAGAAAACTCTCCTTGTATTTAAAAGAAAATCAACAAGGGGCAAAAACTGTATCTTGGATTTTCTCAAAACAGCATTTTTTGGGATAGCCCCCGTGGGCTTAAAAGCGACCAATTATAGTGATGGTCTGGGGTTCAGAGCTTCTGCTGCCTCAGAACTCTATAACTTTAACTTTTTAATTTTTTGTTTGG